CCTTCCTTTTCTTCTTGGTGGCAGGGATTAGAATCTAGGGCCTCATGCTTGCTAGGCAAGGACGCTCTACTACTGAGCTGGTGAGCTACATCCCCAACCCAGGGCTCTGCTTTTTAATTGTTGTATCTCCAGCACATAAGCTGAATGAATGTAGAAAGACCTTCAGGACAGATGACGGTACTGCATCAACATCAGCCTCTCAAAATTGCAGAAACTACTACCCTGCAGCGTGTCCACAAAGTTGGCCTCGTGTTCAGGAGCTGAGGGCATGTGTGGGAATGGCAGGGTCAAGCTGCCCACAAGACCACACAAAAAGATGACTCTGGAGGAGTAAGCCCCTCTAAAAGTTTGTGGCCTAGGGGGAAGTTTTATGTACACATACACAAAACTCTAGAACAAGATGGCATTTGTTTAAAATATCTAGCCTTTGATGCTTAATATCTTATATTCTGAGAGACACTAACTTTAGACTTTTTTCCTGATAGGAAAGACCACAAACCTTGGCTTATGAATGGCCTGTATGGCTATTTCTGTCCCAAATTCCCGCTCTGGTCTGCTTATCACACATAGACACCTTGCCTGACTTTCAATCTTGTTTGTTCCAGAGTGCCCTGAATCAGTCCCCTCCACCCAGCATTGCCCTCAATTTGCTGCTGAGTTGACAACACCTCTTTTAGCCCCTCCACACAGTGCTCCCACACTTAGGGAACACTGGGCTGGGGTGCAATCAACTTAGGAAGTTGTCACAGGGCCCGAAGAACCTAAACATGACCTCTTCACAATAAAGATGTATGTTCTCTTTCCTCCACCAGTTTATGGCTCAGAGATCTGAGGTTCTGCACTATCCACCTGGACAGCCTTACTCATGTTCAGCCAGGCTTTCAGAATTGCTGTCCAGGCTACTGTAAACTCTAAGGATAATGCTATTTAAGAAGTACCTCTGTATCTTCAGAAGGTAACCCACAGCAACTCTGTAAATTAGTTTATTGAACTAACAATGTAAGAAACAATAGAACTAGCAAGAATTAAAACACCTATCTGGGTGTGGTAATGGTGCCTCCAGCACTCTAGAAGGTTGAAGCAGGACAACAGCAAATTCAGGCCCAGCCTGGGAAGTTTTAACAACTCAGCACAAACCTATCTCAAAAATAAAAACTGAAAAGGGATGTGGATTTAACCTAGTGTTGAGGCCCTAGGTTTAATTCCAAGTACTGCTAACTAACTCAACAAATAGGCATGAATAGTGGAGGACACCTGTAAACCCAGTACTCGGATGCTGAAGCAAGAGGATCAGTGCAGGCTAACCTAGGCTGTATAGTGAGCTCAAGGTCAACCTGAACTACATAGTAAAACCCTGTGTCAAAAAAATCAAAAAAGGCCAGGGAGGGGCTGCTGAGATGGCTCAGTGGTCTAAAGCACCTACTTAGAACAAGTTTAGCAAAGCACA